AAAGAGAAATATATGTTGTCACTTTTTGTGTGTGTCGTTAAAGGTGGGGTAGGTAATTTTGGATAAACCAGCTCGAGTGCGCTAGAATTTGAAAATACACAGCCGGAAAAAATCTGCCTCTTCCTTACAGAGCCCCTCCTCCAACACACACGAACGCACACATGACCAATGAGGGCACGAGATAAGTTTGTTCACAGATGGAAGGCTGACAGGCAGGTAGGCCATCCAGTTATTTTAGCCGGACCGGCTCAAATGATTCGTCGTGCTTTTTACAGTACTGCTTCCACAGATGACATTTTTTTATGGATTTTTTGTCAAAGCACTTCAGATATTCATTGCTATCGGGATGTTAAGAGCATTCCATGGAATATAACAAAAAGTGTATCTCGAGCCGGTTTCTCAAACTTGCATACCCCACCTCTAAACAATGGCACAAGGAAACATTCCTCATAGAGCAGGTGGGTACAACATTTTCCCCAAAGACAGTGACTTTAATAGTTAATGTTTGAGTAATCTTTGTTGCTTTTGAGAGAAATACTTCATCAAAAGATGAATTTTATGCAAGAGAGAAGTTCTCTCTTGCAGATCTTCTGTGACTGCGCTCACAGCAGCTCAGTGTCACACACCACTGAGTAGACTCACGACCTTGCTGTAACATTGCTGTTCTGCCTTACTGTCCAACAGCAAAAACACACAGAAAAAACCCCCAGCCCAAAGCACATTGGCTTTAATTCTCAGATCTTCAGGTCAGCTCAAGGCCTGCAGGATTTATAACATGGGGGGGAAAAGTCCTCCTTCTCCACACACACCCTGTCTACAACTGGACTCTACCAGCTGTTGTGCCTTAGCAGCATGTATTAAAAGAGGATTATTATTTTGGTCTTACTCGTCTCCCTGGTCACTACGGCAATAGCCGAAAACAACTCTTGGTGGCTGCAACAGAGGCAGGCGCCGTGGACGAGAGTGGTCATCGTCACACGGGATGATGATCAATCTGAGGCTTCGAGGTTAAATATAGAAAATAACAAGAGTGCCGTAGATGCCTGCCCCAGTGAGTGATCATGCAGGGGGGGGGGGACGCAAATAAGTGAAAGGCAGCTGGGGAGGCAGACTGTGTGTGTGTGTTATCAGTCCCATTTGAGGGTATTCATAAATAAAGGGAAACATTAGGTCAAGGCTGCAAATTGCTGTCTGCTTCATGTCACGCGATGCCTTCACTGTATGCTCCTACGTGCTGCTCATATGTCAACATATTTTATTTATACTTCCTTCATCTCTTGCTTCTGTCTGTCATCATCTTCTTTCTTTTTTTACCTTCATTCTTTGTTACTTTTATGATGTTTTATAGTCACACTTCTCCCGCCTTCTCTGTGCCATTTTTTGCAGTTTGAAATGCTTTCATCTGTCTGTTATGCTAACCAAGTACCATCTCCATAACAGTCACTACTATTTCTTCTTTTTTTTGCATCCTTCAGCCAGCGCATGCAACTCTGCCTCTTTGTCCTGCTGCCACTTGTCATCTCTCTCTCAGCCTCAGGCCACTGGAGAGGTCACTGGACAGCAGCCCACTGCTGCACAGCGTCTGCATGTGGTGTATTATGATGTGTGTGTGTTTGTGTGTGTGTGTGTGTGTGTGTGTGTGTGTGTGTGTGTGTGTGTGTGTGTGTGTGTGTGTGTGTGTGTGTGTGTGTGTGTGTGTGTGTGTGTGTGTGTGAGAGAGCACATGCAAGGGGAAAGCACTTGCACAGTCGACGTGCTTCCCGACCTCTGTGCGTGTGACACAAGCAGAGAGAGAGGGAAAGGCTATGTTGTATATGCTGCTGGCACAGAGGAAGTGTGTGTTATCGTGAGAGAGGGAGGGAGGCAAAGCGAGCTGGTGAGAGAAGAGTGAGCAGAGAGCTTGTATGAGAGGGAGAGAGGGAGGTGGTGTATCCCACTCTAAAGACAGGACTGCTCAGAGGCAGAGGGAGAGACTGAAGCTGCTTGTTGAGAGGTAAAAACATGCTCTGTGTCTGATTTGAGTTTTGCTTATTCATATATATGTATTCAGCACGTCAGTTTAGACTTTCATGTACTCTGTGTGTTTTTCCTTTGCTACTGAGTTGCAGTCTAACATCCTTTTTTACAGAGTTTGCTCTGATAATGCGGCATGTGAGTGTGCATATTATTTAATTAAAGCTGTAGCCGGAGAGCTCTCGCTTTGCCCAGAAAGAGGATTTCATTTACTGTGATTAAGGCAAGTGCAGAAGATGAAGCAGAGACTCCTGCTGTGACCTACTAAAGAATACACATATTTTAATTTGTAATGCTAGTGACTGAATATTTACTTTTTAATGAGATGGTTCAGTTTATATGCAGGTTAGTTAAATACGGAAACTGTACCTAAAGCCTTTTGATATAGGCCTGTAGACGTAACATTTTGTAAAACTGCTGAAGCTGAAGCAAACTGATGTGTGTTTGCGTCTGTGTGCAGTTGCAAGTGCCTGGATACCAGCAGGCATTTATCTGTATGAAGAACTTGTTCTTACTTTTAACTGTATTAACACTAAACTATCTTCTCTGTGTAACTTGTATACTGTAAGAATGCAATTTCCCTATCTACAGTATCTATCCACTTCAACACTGTCTCTGGTTAATTGTGTACGGACAATCCTCTATGACCAAAGGGCACCTAACAGGGACAAATGTTTGTATCCCAGACACAGTCAGCTGTCCTAACATCATCTGATGTGATGGATCCTAATGTTGTGTAGTGAAATACAGACGGCTGCAGTGTCTGCTCACACACACCAGCTGTTCTGCTAATGTGTCATGCTGATTTATAAATTGATATAGCAATTTTGCTGCTTTATGGAATATATGCTTGTGTAATCTGCAAGCTGAAACAGATCCTGAAAATCTCTTATAGGGATTTCTTGATACTTATCGGACATCATTTATGTTAATAGTGAGATATCTGCAGTATGCTTATATCGTTGATCGGTCTAGCTCTTGATGTTGGGAATTTCTCTGGCTTCTCGTCTATGAGGTATCTTGAGCAGCATGGAACAAATCTCTTCTGTTCGGTTCTTCTCTCACCACGGGAGACCGGGGGGACATGCTGTCCTGCAGTAGCTCCACGTGTCGTGGCACATCAACAGGGAGTTAGAAACAGCTTTAAGTCGATAGAGATGGATAACTCAGTAGGATGGTGGTTGAAGTGGATGTTGTGGATAGAAAATCCTGCCAGGTGGTCACAACATCTGTGTAACTTCATTAAGCTGGTCACATCGTGTTCGCTTTATAATTTTCACCCGCATGGTGCACTGTGGACAAATATTTATCGTGGATGATTTAATTTGACTGCATCACTCTTCTTATCAATAATTAGGGAAACACACACACACCCATACACACACACACACACACACGGATGCAAGCTCAATGTTTACATTTACTCATTGCTTCTCATTTCCTGAGAGGTTAAGCAAAGAGATACATACACAGCAAGCCTTGTTAATTATTTCAGGAACGATACAGCTCCTATGCCTCTAGTTTTGACGTGTTTTAAAAACAATGCAGTTTGATTGAGCATAATTCATAATGCATCTCTTTTTAAAGTTATGTGTCAAATGTCAGTATAAAAGTACAGCTATAGATTATGGGCAGGTAAAAAAATGCTAAATTACAGATAACAATATACAAATATACACATGTTTGAGATGTGTCTTAAAAGTAAACAATACAGTTTAGGGTGCTTTACTGGATGAAGACAGTATACTTTAATAAAAGTGTGTTATTCTTCAATTATTGCAAAGTGGCAAGATTTTGAAGATCCATTGGCAGATTTCTTCAAAATGTCACTGCTGCTGCTGCGCCTGCAAGTGAATTTGTGAGATCACTGATGGAGAAATAGACAAAATGAAAGTGTTCTGAGCGACATACAGTCTAAAATAAGTAGCTCTATCAAAATAGCTCAGTGAAATCTCTCTGCTGTGTGTCAGTGGTCAGCGTGTTCAGCTGTTGACATCTCTCTTCCCATCCAGGACTCACTCTTGATTTCTGTTTGTCTCTCCTCCTCCTCATTCATCCTTCCTCTCTTCCCGATGCCTTCTCCTCACTCTCGTATCTCTATCCACATCTCCACTCCCTGGCCCATTTCTGCTCTGAACCCTCAATCTGGCTTCTTCGTGTTTCCCTCATCTATTCTTTATGACATAGTGACCTGCCCTGGGTATGCGTGATGCTCATCGAGGTGTCATCTGATGTTGTTCATTCAGGGGGAGCACATACTTGTATCTCACGGTAGGGACGATTGTGGTCATCTGGAAGAAGAGAGAGGACAGTGTGGGTTAGCAGGAGAGGGGTTAACCAGAAGGGAGTGACAGAATGCAGAAATGAGAGATCAAAGAGAGAAAACAGAAGAAAGGCAGAGCGATAATGAGAGAAAAAGGAGAGGGGATGCCATACTTTCATGTGAAGCCTCCTAAATCACAGCCACTCCTAAATGTGTCCTCTGGTACCCTGGGTGAAACAGTAAGAGTCAGTGGGAAAAAAACTAAAACCCTCACTTTTATTTAGCTTTTAATAAGCCATGGGTATTTTTTCTTTTCCACTTTCAAACGGGAAGTCTTACTCACTTCTCCCTCTCCTGAGTGTGTGTCAGCTCTGAGTCGACTGTCAGAGTGAAACTTGCTCCTCCTTGACGACAGACCAACACCCCAGTCTCAAACACTCACATGTATTCCCCGTAAACTGACTCAGCTGCTTCGACAGATTTGTTGGATTTCCTCTCCATGGAACAGGATTGGGGATTCAAGATGGGGCAGTGACAACTTATAAAGAAGTCACTCTGTTCTGAAGCAGCCAGGAAACTTCTCACCATGACCCGCTGTTACATTCTTAAGATTAAAGCTGTTCAGTCGAGCAATCTAAATTGTAGTTGATGAAATAAAGGTTGTAAATCCATGTAATGAAAAACATTCCAAAGCCTGAGATAATGCCCTAACAATAGTTAGACGTTTGTGGAAATGCACGTGTTTGCTTTTGTTCCCGGAGTTGGTTGAGGGAATCGATAACACTCTCATCTCTCTCGGTTCAATATGAAGCTTGAGCTGGTTAGTAGTTAGCTTAGCTTAGCCTAACAGGAGTACTGGAAAAGGGCAAAACTACTTGCCTGGCTCTGACCAAATGTATCTACCAGAATCTCTAAAAGCTAAAATGTTTAACAAATGACTTTAGAGGTGCTTTACTTTAACTCCTGTGTCTAAAATGTATAAAACATACATGGAGTGTATTAGAATAGACTTATAGCACTTTATAATTATGGTTAAAGAGATTCAAACATTATCTGTATATACCTCTGTACAGTAAATAGATAATACATTATTAAAAAAGAAATGCTAATCTAAGACTCTGGCTGCCGGCAGTGGCTTTATATCCATCCCACCTCTGGCAGGTTTGTTATTTTTTCTTAAACACAAAAAGAAAAAAAGTGTTACTTGATGAATAAGGCAATCTGAAACCACTAAACAGTCAGTGAGGGAGTCTCTGAGGACGGGATGGAGTGCTGTCATTGGCACCTCAGTAAATGCTGCTGATGAGCAGGACAAACTGAACCAGATGGCTTGGCTCACAGTGGTTCCAGCGTACAGTCCACATGCATTAATGAAGACCCTGAGGCTGGCAGAGCCACCGCAGACACATGTAAACACTGTATGTGTTTGTGTGTGTGTGTTTATCTGTGCGTGTGTGAACCTAGGTCAATCTCCACTGACATCCTGTTGCAAATTGCTTCCTGTTGACTCCGGTGTCTTCCTCCTCTCTCTTTATGCTGAATGTCAGTTCATTCCTGGTCTTTTTCTGTGTGCATGTTTGTATGTGTGTGTATTACTATTTACACATGGGCACATTGTGTCTGTTTCCTTCTGTTCCTTCCTGCAGCCGACCACTTTATCCACTTAACTACCATTATTAAGCCTATTAAGAGAAGAGTTCTCCCCTATGGCTGAATCTCCGTGTTCTTTCATTTCCTACTGTAGGTTTTATAACGTGTTTGTGAACTATCGCTGTGCATTACTGGAACGTACAGATTATTATTATGCTGTGGTGGATTGTGTAAATAACTGATCAACTATAAAAACTCATTGATTTAAACAAATATGAATTAACTACATCGTCTGTCAGTGGGAAAGAGACCTGCACAAAGATAATCACGTACTGGCATCATCTTGTCAGTTCAGCAGTCGCACATTTTGTTGAATGTTCCCTACCACGCAGTAACCAATTACAGCATGCCCTTTTCCCCTTCACTCCTCATTTGACTCATTCCTCTCTGGATCACATGTCTGTTTATGTTTCCCTCTTCCCCATCACGCTCTCCTAATGTCTCTGTCAGTATTTCTCTGTGCCCCCTCTGTAATGTTGTTTGCCATCTCCTGTCTGTGTGAGTGCCATTAAGTAAGAAAGCTGTCATTTGGGTTTATGTCATGTCATTGAAAACCCATCTTCTATGTTCCAAGGTGCCATTGTTCCCATCTTGGAAATATAGAACATTACAATAAATTGAAATGAACTAAAGATACATGATTAGTTATATTACTCTAGAGAAAGCAGCGCATTAGTTGCTATTTTTTTTTTATTTAATCGTTTATTTGGCTGGGACAATGTCAGTAATGAACACTTAAAACATTAAAATGTATCGAGCGTGACAGTGCCAGATTTAGCTTTTAGCTAATTTCCATCCGCACTCCCTCTGTTCTGCAAGATTTAGGATATTAGTAGCAAATCAAATGGGTTTCCAGTGTTAAAGTTGAACCTTCAAGACAGACATTAGTCTCCGACTTTATTTAGGATGTTAAGGAAAAATACACAGACATTGTGATCTTTAAATCTATTTACAATAAAATGTCCTCAATATATTTGATAGGAAAACATTTTTGAAACTACATACGCAGGCCTATCTTTGACATTTAACTTGGTACTTGTGAATACAAATATACCAAGTACTTGAATGTGCTCTATTCTGAGATACAGCCATTTTCTCATTTCATGGTTCGCTCAGTTTCTATTATGTGTCATGTTTGTGTTTCCGACACTATATGACTACAAGACATGCAGATATTCTGATGTATTGTAAAAAGACAAAAACAAATTAACCTTATCCCTCAGGAACTGAAATCTAATTTCCCTTTCAATAAAATGTATCTGGAGCTCAGTTGACAATCACTCCCAGTGATCATTATGTGCCTTTATTTTTGTCAAAGTGAGAGCAGGAAGGGTTTACAGAAAAGTCCTTAAACTAACATCTACCTGGAAGTTACAACATTGATCTAAAAGAAACGTACATTTAAAATGTAGTATTGAAATATAATCCAATATTGATCCTTCCTCAACTGTACTGCCTACAAATATTGAGTGTATATTTGTAGGCAGTATATATATATATATATATATATATATATATATATATACTGTTGTTTTCCAGAGTTGTAGATCATTATGATTGCAGGCATTTGACTTTGTAACCTGTTGCCCGACATCTGTCATCACTGGCCACAGAGGGGCGGCTCAGCTGTCAATCAATCTCACGGAGCAGTTCAGAGGTCAAAAGTTGACAGGGTCTCACCTCTTAAGGTTTACATTCAGAGCCTGTAGTTGTGTGGTACGTTTGTTCTGCCTCTCAGCTCATTTACTTTATTTTCCGTATGTTCCATTCATTGTTGTTTTTAATCATTTGATGTGATTGGATGGAAAATGACTTTATCAAATGAGTCGGAAAAGTAGCACATGCACTGACACACCAGTTTCTACTAGCATGTTACTTCAGGGTCAACTGCTGTCCTCATGATAAACAATCCTGAAGAAGTGGCTGTAGCCTTTTGAAATGACCTCAGCTCCCCCCTCTTCCTCTTTCTCTCTGTGTATATGCGTGTTTGTGGTTTTGGCAAATTAACTGTTGGCTCACCAGCGGACTACAAGGACTGCACGCCACATGTAAAGCTTAATCCCTCTCACTCCATTCCTTCTTTACGATGCAAAAAGAACACAAAATCATTCTCAATAATTTGTATTATATTCAGCACAATAAACATAGTCAGTTTGCACATGACTTATACAAAGAACTGCAATATCCTTAAGTTCTTTACATTTCTGCTGGCACTTGTTTTGACTTTATAAGTATAAGTGTCAAAGTGTGTATATGTGTGTGTGTGTGTGTGCGTGCGTGCGTGTGCGTGTGCGTGTGTGTGTGTGTGTGTGCGTGCGTGCGTGCGTGCGTGCGTGCATGCGTGCGTGTGCGTGTGCGGGTCTGACATCACGCGTCACTAACCCATCATGTGGAACAGCAGGATCTGTGCTGACAGCCACTTCTTCAAACGAGCTGCAGCAGATGACAGAAGGAAAGTGAGAATGAATCTTACCATCCTCCTCTGTCAGCTCTTCCTCTTCCTCCTTCTCCTCCTCCCTTCCATCCCTTCATCAGCGCTGCTGTAGCAGGACCAAGAGTGTTAAACCAAACACATGACTTGGCATGTGTTTGGTTCATTCCCAGTGTGTGCGTGTGTGTTCACATGTGGTACTGCTGCAAAAACTAACCTTGTGCTCATTTCCTTTCAGGTGACTCCCACCTGCATCTCAACACCAGACTTGGTAAGCGTTTACATGTACGTTTATATGATGTCATCACACAATGAACGGCAGTAGAGTTACTCTTTTCTTGTTTTTACAGTACGGCTCCACTAAATCTACATCACTAAAGAAGAGAGGCTCACTACCGAGGTACAGGATAGTCTGAGTCACACATGAAAATAGATACACAGAAATAAAATGCTCATTAAATAAGACCGCTCTCATGGCTGTATTTTCTGCACTGAAACAATAAACTCTCACAATTTCCAGGAGTAAGAGTTTGGAACAAGTTATGGAGCATGTGATGGAACACCACTATGACTTTGACCTCACATACATCACGGAGAGGATCATCTCTGTCTTCTTCCTGCCGGAGCTGGAGGAGCAGCGGTACCGCAGAAACCTACAGGAAGTTGCCTCCATGCTGAAATCCAAGCACCAAGACAAGTTCTTGGTTAGTCATAACACTGCACACATGAGGAATCAAAACTTCACATCATTGTAAAGGAAAATATAATTATCTCTGAGGCTGTTAATTAGGTTGTATTCAAATAAATAAACACGTTTTATTTAGTGCATTGTTGTGTCACTTTCCAGGATGGTTATTTTAGGTCTGACAGGGTGGTATAATCACCATCCTTCCTTTCCCTCCTTTCTTCAAATGTATTATTTTTTTCATTTTCTTTTGATATGTAAAAATAGATTTCTGATATCTTTTTATGTGCCTTTTCCAGCTACTGAATTTATCAGAGAAGAGACATGACATCACCAGACTTAACCCAAAGGTAAAAGTATACAGATCACCATCGTAATATCTTTCTATGTTTTGAGTTAACGGACAGGGTCTGACTCTTTTGAACCAAACATAATTAAAAACATCTTTCCTCCTTTGCGCTTCAGGTGCAGGACTACGGCTGGCCTGATGTTCATGCCCCACCCCTGGACAGGATTTGTGCTGTTTGTAAAGCCATGGAGACCTGGCTGACCTCTGACCCCAACAACGTGGTGGTCCTTCACTGCAAGGTCAGCACCACCTGAATCCACATCTGCTCGCTTGGCTGTGAAAAATGTAAAACTGTGACGAAAGATATTTCATCGTCACTTTGATCTGTGTTCTGACAGGGAAACAAAGGGAAGACTGGGGTCATCGTGGCAGCCTACATGCACTACAGCAAGATATCAGCGGGGTAAGCTGCATCATTATACATCTAACAAGGCACTTGTTATACCAGCTTGTGTACAATTTAATTATATGTTTTCAATTTACACCTGCCATTAAACAATCAAGGAAAAATGTGATACCTGCCTCTAAAATTGCCAACATACCTTGCCTTATTAATATATTGTGTGCTGTGATCAAGTCAAACATACAACTACATGTCTTTATTCATAGTTACATTTTGTTGTCATCGAGGCCAACACTCTTTTGATCATCTACAGTCATAGTTTAGTTAATTTAATCACTGCAGGGAAGCAACTCATTATTTTTGATAGTCTGTATAATGTCTGGAGCCTAAATCGACGTACTTAAATAGCTAGTTTTGTCCAAAAAACTGTCCAAAACTGTAAACAATTACTTATTATTAACAATAGATTTTTGTATTGATCAATTGCTTCATCATTGTAGCTGAGATATATCTCCTTTGTGTTTTCACATCTTAATTGTTGTTGGTAAAATCTGATCAGAAGAAGAATAAATGTCCAGGACTATTTTAAATAGATTAAACTGATTGCAAAATTACCAACATCAGCCTAGATTTACTCTAATCTTCACCTCACTACAACTATAATCTGTACTAAAGTATTAATATCCCTCCACAGAGCGGACCAGGCTCTCACCACTCTAGCAATGAGGAAGTTTTGTGAGGACAAAGTCTCCTCTTCCCTCCAGCCCTCTCAGAACAGGTGAGTTTCCTCCTCTGCCACATATCACTTGTTGCAGCTGTCATTTGCCTCAGTGACTGCATTTCCTCACCTCTCTCCTTCAGGTACATCTTCTACTTTGGCGGTTTGCTGTCAGGTACCATCAAAATGAACAGCAGTCCTCTGTTCCTCCAACAGATCCTCATTCCATCACTACCAAACTTTCAGACGGGAGGAGGTCAGTTTTATAGAAAGTGATGTTGTATTAAATCATAGCTTTGAAAAGTCAACAGAAAGTGTTTTACATTGTTCGAGCGTAACACATATGAAACGTTTTCTGCAAACTTAACAGTTTTTCTCCTCATCTTCTTTCTGTATCTGCAGGTTTCTATCCATTCCTGAAAATCTACCAATCTCTACAACTCGTCTACACTTCAGGCGTCTAGTAAGTACATGTCCACTTTGTTTTCAGCTCACCTCCCCTGAGGCAGAGTCTTTTCCTTCTCCTGTCCAACTGACACATGTTGTCTATACAGGCGGCTGTCTGTGTTTAGGTGTAGGCTGCTCTGTGCTTACGTTGAGGTTAATGTGTTTACCACTGTTTAACCCAGCAGACACATGTTTTGACTGGTTAAATGTGTGTTTTGAGCTGCTGTGGCCGTTGTTTTACTCTGTGTATGTGTGTGTGTATTAAGTGATCCCCAGAGCTCCAGGGCAAGGAAGCTGTGTGTGACTATGGAGCCAGCACTTTTATTAAAGGGGGATATTATGGTGAGAATGAGACTTTCATTTGAATCCTACCAACACATCGGACTTCACTTCAATCCTTCAATTGTTTATACAAAAAAGAAACTAAATCTTTCCTGACTGTGATGTAACTTTTCCTTTCAAAAGTTCCTGATTAGATTCCCAATAGATTGTTGTTATTATAATACATTTAAATCCTCTGCAGACCGTAAAAATGCATGCTCAATTGTTTTCTTAAGTTGTCGTGCATGTCTTTGCGAGGGTAAAAACCTTTCAGAGCCCTTAGCACTCTAGGGAGACATCCAAGCACTTTATTTGTCTCGGACGGTAATCAATTGACACGGCAGCAACACGCACCAAAGACATATGATCCGACTTAAAAGAACACTTTCATGAAGCAAATAGAAAATGTATTTATTGATTGTATCTACATATATCCAAGTCCATGTCAAATAGCCGAATCGGTGTCTTACCTCCATCTTTCTGCAGGTGAAGTGCTACCACAGGCGGAGTCGAGCAGCAGAGAGGGAGGTGGTGTTCAGGGTCCAGTTCCACACCTGCACTGTCCACGGAGCCCAGCTGTGGTTTGGCAAGACTGAACTGGATATGGCCTGCATAGGTAAAAAAGCATATTTTGTTTTATTTATGTTACAGTCGAAAAACTAAAGTCTTCCACTGTTTTCCTTTAAAATGTTCCTTTTGTGTCCCGTAAAATTACCAGTGAGAAGGTCTGCTCTTATTATGCTCCTAAACCGTGGAACTCACTACCTCGCTCAGTATTTCTTACAGGATATTTAAGATTTATGCTTTAATCTGACTTGTAAAATGGTGTAATAATACAGCCTTTGTTTTAAAGCAATGATGTTTTTTTGTTTTTTATTTATCCTTGGCGTTTTCATTTAAGTGAAGCAATTTCTGCCGCGTGTTTCTATGAAATCGCCTTGTATTAAAATGTGCTTACTAAATAAACTTACGTGCCTTGAGAAGTGCTTAGACTACTGCTTTACTACACTAAAATGGACATATCGTATATATTGAATATATATTGAATAGATTGCAAAAATAGTGCTGATCAAATGGAAAACTCCCGTATATTTCTATTGCTTCCTTGAAATGGTTCACACGGCTGTATAATTCAAGAGCCACTTATTATAGAGCGGCAGCCCATTGTGGGGATGTGTGTATTCTGAGACAAATATCAAATGACAGTGTCAGTTGAGATGAAGGGGAAATGCTTGTACATGGCTCAGTAAGCAGCAGTCTCATGGCAGTTGCCCTTAGTGCTACATGCTGACGTATGCATGCAATGTACAGATAACATTACACACACTCATGCATGAAGCTAAAAAGAAACTCTTTGAATGTCTCTGTTTCCATTATGATGAGTGAAAGCAAGTCTCTTTATTTGTTTCCACTTCACAGAATGCCCTTTCTTGTTTCTATCAGCATCTGGATATGTTAGGCATTGCCTTTATGTTCTTCTTTCTGTAGATGACAGGTTCCCTCCAGATGCTACAGTCGAGTTTATCTTCTCCAACGGGCCTGAAAAAATGAAAGGTAATTCTTTTCAACTGTCTGTGTGCCACTGCCTCTGTTTCTATTTTTGTATATTATCATAAACTTTTAATCAAAATGTCCGGTTTCCAAGGTCGAGAATACTGCAAGAATGACGCCTCCATCAAAGTGGACATCAACACGTCGGACCCTGTGGTGAGATGGGATTCTTATGAGAACTTCAACCTGCACCACCAAGACAGCATTGAAAGTAAGAAACATGCGCACACACAAGTTTAAGTGTATCCACGTTACAAGAATAAAACATTAATCTCTTCTTGTTTTTTGCAGATATTCCTCATACGAGGGGTCCTCTGGACGGCAGTCTGTACGCCCAGGTGAGGAAACGTCGTGGGCCGGGCTTGACGGCCTCAACAGCGTCACCCAACGGATGCCTCACCAGCAGCCCAACAGTTAAGCCTCCAACTCCCAGCCACACCCAGCCTCTCACCCACACCTCTGACTCCAGCTGCTCGTCAGTTCCCTCTGATCACCTGGAAGACGCATCTCCACCCATAATCCGCTCATCAAGAGAAAACCCAGACTGTCCCTTGAGGAGAGGAGATGGGGACGGTGGCACAAAAGAGAAAAGAAAAGGGAAAGAGAAGGATAGAGAGACTGCGATTTTAGATGATGGAGACCCATCAAATCTTGGAGGTTTGAGGCGAGAGATCTCGAGTTGTGGACGTTCGACTACAAAGTGTGTCGATGGCAGATGGGAGAGGGAACGGGAGCCATGCCATTCTGAAGGTCATTGTCACGGCCATTGCAACAGCGTTAAAAAGAACCCGAAAAGCCAAACTCTGCCGGCCTTACCAACCAAATCTGTGTCCCCACCTCCTCATTCAACTCATATGGAACTATGCCATCGACATAGTGGGCATCCTTTACCAGAGTTACCATGGGAACGTCCAACCCCAGCCCCTCCCCTGCCCTGTCTGCACAGGCCTTGCTACCCTTATACGAGCCCTGAACACACCCACCCACACAGCCACACCCTCCCAGCCTTAAACAGACTTTGCACTGGGGAGGAGTGTCACCTGCTCCATTATTCCGGCCACAACCCCTCCTCTCATCACTCCCATCCATCACTTCCCTCCAGCCCTTACAGGGAAATGTTCTTTGGCTCTCCAACGTCGTCCTCTGGTTGCGCTTGTCGGGACTGCTGCAACAGACGAGAGCACCAATCAGTTAGAGCGTTCCACCCTTTGCACCCCGGCCAATCAGAAAACCCACACTGGTCCCAAGGAGT